AGCTGTACCAAGTGAATGTATAACAAGTGCTGCTCTTGTGAAATCCTCGATTCTTAAATATTATTTCGAAAATCACGCGAAAAAGCATTTCTCCGATGCCGTTGCACAAGGAATTATAGTGAAAAACACTAAAATGACATAAACTTAATAATTCCTACTCCTATGCGCCACCAAAGGTAAGATAGACTGCGTATTTCGTGTTAAAGTTTACTACGACTGATTAACAATGAATGTACTGTTGTCTAGGGTATCGGAGAAAGCCCTTTCAAGCCTCTGGGACAGGCTAACCACGAAGGATTGGCGACACAGAACAATCAAACAACGAAAGCTAACCTGGAGTAATCTTAGATCAAAGTAATCAGCAGCGTTGAATAGTATCGATGTAGCAAAGAGTCAGGCAATCTGATGGTGTTGTGGGTAAAATGGAGGACGCAGTAACGCGACGCCTGTCACATTACGTAATTAGTGTTGTTGTGGGGGAACGGTGGGAACGGTGAGAAAATCTAAAGTTAAGGTGTGGGAAAGTTTAGTGGCAGAAATTTCTAGAGTAGCGTAGAATAGCGATCAGATGTAAACATGTAAATAACAGGCGCATGTATAAATACATGCGCAACCCGATAGCATGGAAGGAGAGTTTTAGTTTATCACTAGCATTTACAATAAAGTGACGTTCAAGTATAAACTCTTACCTCGTATTTCCAAGTGTGCCCGAAATACTGATAACCCGTGCTACGCGATTAAGCGAGAGAGCCGAAGTCTGCCTAAGGGAATTGGCATAAGAAGAGCTCCAAGTTAGTCGATAGAGAGGTTGAAGTAAGACCGGCCAAATCGTGACACGCCTCAGGAGTTTAAACCTACGTTATGCGAAGTTTATCTACCATTGGCGACAGACTCGCCGGTTAGCCCATGACAATGGTCAGGGAAGAAATCCACCACCCATTCAAGAAGGAAATTCGGAATCACGATAATCAATAAACTTTAGCCAACCACGAAAGGAGCCAGGGTCAGTGCAGCCAAGTTGACACCCCTGTTGAATCAATCGTTGTTCATATTGAATGGTGGGATGGGGTCTCGAACGATTCTTCCATCGATTAATCCTCAGCAGCAACATCAGAGCAGCATCACGAACTGTCTTCTCCATAATCGGAGCATCCCCAGCCAGATGCATAACAACGTATGGCAGTTTGACTAAAAAACAATAAACATAGGAATTAAATATGGGTTTACATCGGTTTCAGTGTTACCGGAAAATAAGTCGAATTTGTGATTAAATAAAGCGATTAGTATCTAAGATAGTTCTTTATTACAGGCCAGTGTTTTCACATGCAGAGCTTTGGTGAACCTTGCGTCTTCATGTAGATACTGCGTAGTGTATACCTTTGTCTTTGTACTTGAGGTAAAAGAATAAGAGAATGGATGTCACTCGGGCATATTGATGAATATGTATTGGCCAGTTTCTTAATAAGTAGGATAGCTAAAAATAATACGAGTAACGCAGGATGTAGAAGCAGAAAAAAAAATCACTAGCGCTAGCATTATGTATTATA